AAAAGTGTGTTTGATTGATCTGTGCGGACCCTAGGAAGAATAGCCACGCTCATGCCAGTGCTGATGGGGATCCCCATAAAGACAAGACACAGACATATGAAGCCTGTGTGTGAATGAGCTCCATCAGTGCGTGTGTGTGTGGGCGGGCTGCTCTGCTCTGATAAGAGGTTATCAAGATTAAAGGAGGAGGGCAGGAATGACAGGCCCTCAGCTCTCTGTCGTGCAGCAGCACAGACACACACAGACCTGCAGCGAGCTCGTGTAGCGTAACTCAGGCAGTAACTGATTACATGTAACAGGATCACATTAAAAAAGATCACTGTATTCCGTTACAGTTATATTATACTTGCAGGATGTTACTTTCAAAGAAAGAACAATGCATTAAGAAGCTCCTGCACACACCTTTACGTAGGCATGGCAAGGCTTAAATTCTTAAAATACAATGCAATACGTTACTTTGTGATGCGGTACATTTTGGTACGTTATGGTCAGTTCGATACTATACGATACAATACGATACAATACGGCACATTACGGTGCGATATGATACGATATGATACGATGCAGAAAATGCCATACATTTCTGTAAAGTAAGGTACAATACGATATAGTAACACAATACTTTGCTGTCAGGTGAAGTCTGAATTTTTTCATGCATCACAGCAGCAAGGACAACAGATTTAAGACAAAAAACGGACTTTTAACATAACATCAAGACCCTCTAACTCTGTATTTAATTTGAAGATTGACTGGTGCGCTAAAGAGTGCTTCATGTCCAACCGCCCTGATTGGACGGTTTTTCGGCTGGCTGACGGATGGTGTTGTGTGTCAGCAGTGGACTTCGGGGACAGCTTTTCTAAATTCCCAAGAAACCGGCTTCTGTGCAGGCGGGGGTCTTATCTCTGCCACGCAGAGCTGCAGCCACCCAGGAGAGCTCTCTCTCACACACACACACACACACACACACACACACACACACACACACACACACACACACACACACACACACACACACACACACATACATGTTTTGTTTACTCATTTAAGAATTACTAGAATCCATGGGCTTTTTCCTAAATATGATGTTTTGTGTGATATGAGTCGCCTGCACTGACTAATAAAGGTGTAGATGCTTCAGTAGCCAGAGGTTTGCATCATCAGAGCTTTTTTATTGCTGATTTTGTGTAATCTCAGTATTTTGATGCACCTCTGGCAGTATACACATGACACACACACACACACACACACACACACACACACACACACACACACACACACACACACACACACACACACACACACACACACACCATGACATTTCATTTAGCTGATGCCTTACATCTTACAATAAGAATAAACCATTAAGATACAAACTCAGAACAGCAAGAAGCATGCAGCTACATTAGCTTCAAATGGCTAATAGTGCATCATTCAAATTAGCTAAAATCCTTCAAGGACTACATTTTATTTTTATTTTGAAATGTTTTTGGTTTAATAGCAAGGTGCAGGCGAAACAGGAAAAAGCACGTCAGCATTATTACTTCAATGTATTTAACTGTAATTGCTTTTCTCACTTTTCACTTTCATAATAATTTGTTTTTTTGTGTTTTATTTTTAGTGCAGCTACCTATTTTTATATTTTGTGAAACTTTTGTTATATTTTTTTAATTCTCTTTACTTTTAACTGACCTCAAACCATGACTGTTGTTGATTTAAGAATGCTGAAAACAAATTGATGTTTTATAATAATAATAATAATAACAATAATAATAATGAAGATAATAATAATGATGGTATTTCGTGTACAATTAATTATCTTTAATTATGTCTATGATTGTGATTGTCAGTTGTAATCTTATTATGTCTAATGCATAGGTCTAATGGCATAATTTACTATGACATAGAGTCAAATAATACTCATACTGTATATTAGTAAAGTATATTAGCTTGTTTCAGAACTACTTTCAAGCTTAATGAGGTATACACACATTAACATTAAAACCAAATGTATAATAAAATATGTTGTTACGTCTCATGGCACATTTATTTCAAATCAGTCCTGCTGTATTTAAATCAGTTTTTAAATGTTTCGCTGTACAGGAAGGGTTTGTAATGTCTAATAATTGCGATTTTTTTTATAGGATTGCTAGTTTCTTTTTAAACCTTTCACTTATTACAATAATACTTTATTAAAGAGATATAAACAATCCCAATGTAATTTAACATGTATATGGAGTGGTGGGTGTCTGCTTTTGTATGGGTTTACTTTACTATTGAGGAGTAAAAACTGATAAAAAACATGAATCACTAAATATTGTAGATAACAGCAGCTCCACCAGAGAGCACATCCTGTGAGGAAGGTGGATCACCTGAAGCCTATGCTGCCCCCTAGTGGTGCAAAAAGAGATCATCCAATAATAGTTGACAGCAGATTGCTTGGTAATTGGAAATACTTTTCTTAGACAGTAAAGATTACGTATAACAGAGGAATGACATATTTGTTTACATGAATTTACATTATATATGTCTATCTATACTATAAAGTGTTATAATAATAATTTCTAATAATACGTTTTATTTTGAAATCATCTTTGCCTTTGTGTTGTGACTCAGACAGGACACAGGTCAGCTCTGTGCCAACTGTCAAATGGTGCCTTCAAAGACTGATTTAAATACTGTAATTTAACAGGGAGAATATGAAACAAGAAATATGTTGGATTCTTTATCCTGAAATAAAGCCTTAGCCACTGAAATGAAACTTTATGCAAATTTTATTCAGGAAATATAAGCACCCCAAACATGTTCAGGAACCTACGATCCAGGGAGAAATGTTGACATATTGAGGCTGTGAAATGTAATATACTTCTTACCCTTTTTTTTTTTTTTTTTTTTTACAAAAACATAATATAACAATTAACTGGGAAAACCCACAAACCAAAATGAAACCTTCAATAAAACAAAACAAATCAGAATCAAACTGAAATTTAAAAAAAGTAAAGACAATATGGCTGAAAATAATAACATAAAATAGACTTTCATTTGGGACTTTCCTTTTCGTGGCTAGCCCTGAGTACAGTAAAAAAAACACTTTGGTCCACCGTCCACTGCTGATGAGACACACCTCAAATGACATATCCGCAACATTCCGAGGTGCTCCTGAAGGTAGCAGCAGCTCCTGTGGAAACGAACCTGAGCAGAAGTGAACATGAACGACAGAAACAAGCCGGTGACCCTGAAAATCATCCTCGTAGGAAACTCAGGGTAATTACTAGATGATAGTGTTTTAGGAATATAATTTCTCTTGATGAAAAGTGTTGTTTTAGTGCTTCACCGAGATTTGTTTCACTTTCATTAACTCCTTAACATACTGCAGACTGAAGTGTAAATACTTTACCAAAGTTATCATGTCAGTGTAGTGAGATAACGGCTAAATTAGTATCTGAAAGGAGACAGAGGTTTTAGTGTGTTGTGTTCTACCTTTAATGTTTGTGTTGTTTACAAAGGGTGGGGAAATCCTCCTTCATGAACCGGTTTGTGAATCACCGCTTCACCAACATGTACCGGACCACCATCGGGACAGACTTCCTCTCCAAAACAGTTACCATGGATGGGGACACCGTCAACCTGCAGGTGCATACATCCATCACACTTTAAAGGGGCCCTTTTATGCTATATTTGTATTTCGTGTCTCTATCTGCATGCTTTAATGTTCAAAAAGCTCTTTATTTTTCTCATACTGCCTGTGCTGCAGCACCTCTTTTCACTCTCTGTCTGAAACCAGAGCCCAGTCTGCTCTGATTGGTTAGCTGGCCGGCTCTGTTGTGATTGGTCAACAGCTTAGAGATGTCCCGCCCTGTACAATGTGTTGGAGCACTAGCAAATAGAAGAGCGAGTGTTACATAGTGATGTCACTATGATACAGAAGTAAACAAAGGAGTCAAATGGAGGCGTTTCAGGCAGTGGGGGGAGTGTGTGGGAGAGAAACTCCCTCTGGAGGGAACACAGGGATTAAAGCCTTTGCAGACCATTTACATGCACAAAAAGGGAAATAAATACAAATATGAACCTGAATATTAGCCCAACAGGCCCCCTTTAAAGTTTCCCACCATGATTGAATTCAAACTATTGTTTGTATTATTGATCTTGAGTTTTCCATACAATTTTGATTTTTAACATTATTTAACAACAAATAAATAAATATATGTAAATGTTCCCTCCTCAGATCTGGGACACTGCGGGCACGGAGAGGTTTCAGTCTCTGGGAACACCTCTGTACCGAGGAGCTCACAGCTGCCTGCTGGTGTTCGACGTCACATCCAGAGACAGTTTCTCCGCCCTGGAGGAGTGGAGGAAGGAGTTTCTGATCCAGGGAGAGCCTCAGGACCCGGACCACTTCCCCTTCATCGTGCTGGGCAACAAGACCGACCTGAGCGACAGGGAGGTCTGTAGTATCAGGAAGATGTGAAGCATAGATACTATGATTTAACTTGTGTCATCTGAAGGTTGACATGAGTAACAGCATTTTTTAAGTCAGTAATTGAACCATTAATCAAATGACAAAGTTAAATTACAATCTTAAAATTATGCCTTAATATCTCGAAATAATACAAAATACTTCCTCAAAATAATGACAAACCTTAATATTTTTAATTAGGCAAATCAGACCAAAATTCATTATTACAGTTTCTCATTATAATGGTCCATCGTCAGACAAATGATGGCAAGCCATTTTGATAATCGTTCATTAGTGGCTTTATATATTTTCCATATTACAATTATTGTAGAAAATAATATAATCCATAATGAAAATAGCTGTTAGCTGCAGCTCTAAAATGTTATACAAAAACCAAATTGTGACTTCAGATTTTATTACATTTTTTCTACGTTCACATCTGCCCCGTTGTTGTTGATTGTTTGCATTTCTTGGCAGGTGTCTGGCGCAAAGGCCCAGCAGTGGTGCAGCAAAATCGGAGCACAGTATTTTGAAGGAAGCGCTAAAGCAGACCTGGATGTGGAGAAGCCGTTCCTGACAGCGGCTCGGAGCGGCCTACAGCAGGTGATTCAACACTCCTTAATAGAGAAGATAAGAAAGACACAACATCTCTCTCTCTCTATATGTTTAACATGTTTATTTTTTGATGATAAAAGATACATTACTCCCTACAGTACAAAAAACACACATTGGAAAATACAGGACATTTCCAGATAACCTGCGAACAGCCGAGAGAAACTCGCAACGCCTGTGAGTGCTGAGTCAGCGCTCGTCCCCGAGAGGCCGGGGGAAAGTTCAGAGAGACCTCGGCACTGCTGATGATGACCTATCTAACGAGGGTGCAAAAATAGTGACCCAGCAAAGGTACTGTGGAAGGAAAAGGACACATTGTATACCACATGGAGAGAGGAACAAACTCAGTAAATGTTTTTTCTGTTTTTTTTTTTATCTTGAGAACCTTCAGCTTATGGTCTAACTTAAGGCATCACTACTAAAATACACTGCTTTTGCATGCATGTCTAGTTTTTGTTCAACAGACACACTGACACACACACACACAAATTATGAATGCATATGAAGAGAGATTTTCAGAAAGAAAGAAATTGGGAGAAAAGCACAAAACGAGAGAGACCGATGCGCCGGCTGGAGAAAAAAGGTGGCAAAGCGGAAAACCTGGGATCTTCCTGGCCTTTTACCGTGACAAAGTGGATATACAGTCCTTCAACGCTCCCTGTACAGATCGTCGTGATGTAATGAACCTAGCAGTGTTTCAGACTCCCACAGTGAATCAGCTCGACAGAAGCAAACCATCAGGGAGACTATATCTATATATATTTATATATATATATATATTTGTTTCTTTTATAAGTAAAGACACAAAAAGGCAATCGAGAGATGACCGACATGTAAAAACAGTTTGTTACAGGTAAATATATAAAAGGCCAAGATGATGAATTTTTTTTGTTTGTTTTATTCTTGCTCTATGAACGAACTAATTTACAAGTGAGTACACTCCGGCTATGTAAGCTTTTTCCCCAAAAGACATCCCCATTTTCCACACGGGTTTTACACATCACAGTTAGCTTGCTGAAATAGTCTGAAGTCTGAAATACAGAGCCGTGGAAAGAAAAAAATAATTAAAATGTATTAAATGGATTCACATACATTAATAGGAAAGGGGAACATATGTCTACTAATATAATTTGCCATTCTAAAAAAAAAAAAAAAAAAAAAAGAGCAAAAAAAAAGCGGTGGACAATTGTTTAGGTTATTAAAGGGGAAAGGGGGGAGGGGGGAAAGATCTGATGTTTTGTCCTCATACTTCGTGAGATTTCCTGTTTGGCAAACAAAGCAACAAGCATTGAGTAGTAAACAAAGTAAAAACTCTCCTGGGTCCACGTCAGAGAGCCCTTCAGTTCTACAACCTCGGTGGCTTCTACTTGGAACAAATACAAAAGTCTTTCTCTCGTTCATTTACCTTCGGTCAACAACAAGTACATACAACCGGCTGAATGAAGATTTCTTTTAAAAATATAGTGGCAACCTCAACACAGCCACCGATCGTCCCACGAACACAAACTATGGGGATGAACAACAATTAAAAAAAGTGATGCTTTTTTTCATTTTAAAAATGCACACGACATACACATACACACAGGAGGAAAGAAACAAAACAAAAAAAGCTTAAAAAATACAAAAATAAACTACACAAAAGATCTTCTGCGTCATTGCTGCTTGCTAATTTTTTGGGAAGATTTGTGTGTGTGTGTGTGTGTGTGCTGCAAGTCTCAGTCCTATAGCAATGTCTGTCATTCATTCTCTACAAATCTCTTCTTGTCCACGTCGAAGAAGTGTCGGCCACCGGTCCTCACGTCGGGTAAAAAGCGCACAGTGATGACATTACCAGGAGACTGGAGTCCAGTACGGCGAATACAGACTTGGTTCTCGATGAAGCAAATTTTTGTTTTCAGCATAAAAAGAAAAGAGAAAAATTATGTCCTCTGTCGCTGAGGACAAGTGCTTTATTTGTATCCATACTGATTTTTCCTCTCTTCTAAACTAATGCCTCCACAGCCTTTTTTTTTTCCCTCAACACTGTACATCATTTTGTGTAGTCTCTCTCTACATCCCCTCTTGGATTCACAAACCAAAGACAAAAAAAAAGGTAACATTGCACTCAGGCTGGCTCCCAGTTTGTGAAAGATGTAAATGCTTCTCTATACTGCTCAACTACTGAAACAAGCCAAAAGTAGATGTTAAACGATGGAAGGGGATGTGACAGGAAAAAGATAGTGTGCTTCTAAGTTTGTGTTGCTCTAAAAATAGTACAACCAACAGAAGGAGGAGGAAGGAGGGTTTTATCTACAGAAACATCTCTCAGGTTGACTTTCATCTCGGCTTCATACGGTTGTTCTGCCTCCATTGCTGTCTGGGTCTGAGACTTGAAGAGTGGAGGATGAGATTAGGATGGAGAATGAGGTGGTGGTGGAGGAGGAGGAGGAGGGGTGAAGGTCAGTCTTCCTGATAAAAAGGACAGCGAGTGGAAAAAAGGACTAAACACTGGGAGGGGTCCCCGGGTGACCTCACTGGTCCGTCCTCGCTTTCTTTGGACCGGCAGCCTTACTGCAAATGCAAAGAAGGAAAAAAAAGAAAACGGCATGAGTGTTGCACGTTTGATACTCCAGTGTGAACCTGTGTGCACAGTGTGAAACATGCACAGTGCTTACGTATCAGGAGAGGTGCCTGGTCTTTTTGGGGCCGGTTTTGCAGAGGCGGCGTCTTTGCCGGATTCTAGAAAAGCAGAACGATTTGTTAAAATATCTCTTTTTCCAATAATAGTTATTCACAAAAACAGTTGAAAATAACACAAGGCGTAAGAATTGGGAGGGATGAAACCCCCTTTAATGGTCACACATGCAGAGCACACAGCACACAGTGTGTTCTCTGCTTTTAACCCATCCTAGTACCAGGAGTCTAGTACTAGGATCAATGGGAGTGAGGGGGGAAGGGGGGTGTCCGGTGCCTTGCTCAAGGGCACCACGGCAGGGCAGGAGGTGAACTGGGACCTCTCCAAGTAGCAGTCCACACTGCATATTTAGGGTCTGGTCGGGGACTTGAACCGGCAACCCTACGGCTCACAGTCCAAGCCCCTACTGACTGAGCCACTGCGGGAGATTTGTGACCTAGGACACCCCAATAAGCCAGCTGAACATTAAAGGGGCCCCATTATGCTTATTTTCAGTTTTCTTTAGTATTTTATACCTCTACTTTGACATGCTTTAATTTTAATGTTGCCGACCATTTCCATGCACACAAACCTATACAACACACTACAGTACAGGGGAGGGAAAGCCCAAAGAGCACAATAGTGGCCAAGACAGTAAACACAAACCGTAACAATGTTTCTTAATAACAATTATAGAATTGAAGAGAATCCGTGTATTATACATACCACATATGAGCGAAAGAAAACATTAAAACTACACACTCAAAACTAATATAATCAAACACTAACTACTTAATGGTCCAAACAACCGTATTAAATATAATAAACACAGACACAAAAAACAGTCAATTCTAACGAGTCACTTTATAAGTCCTCCGCCATTCAGTGTATGCAAGTTCGGATACATTTATTGAGAGCTGCTGCCTCTTTTCAAATATCACAAGTAACTGATTTTTGTAATGGTGCTCACCTTGCAGCCATCGGACTTGGGTGGCGGGGCCGTAGCCCTTCTCGTTACGGGCGGCGATGCGGAAGATGATAGCGGGCTTGGTGGTGTAGTCGATGTGGGCGTTGGAGAGGCTGGACGACTGCACCAAGCAGGAGGGGTTGGGCCCGCAGTACACGCGCATGAAGGCTAGCTGCGCTGGGGTGGAGGCCTTGGCTTCGGCTGTCTGGTTGCTCTGGATGGCCAGGTACACAGAGTACTCGATGATCTTCCCCGACGTCACCGAGGGCGGCTCCCAGGTCAGGTGGGCGCCATCGGGGCTCTGCAGAGGGACGACGAATGATTACTACTCAGTGCCTGGGAGCACGACTCATGAGAGCAGCTGCAGTTATCATGTGATTCCACAACGAAAAGAGAAAACAACAAGGGGAAGGGCTTCACTGGGGTGTTTACCTTGCTGATTTTGATGGCGCAAGGAGCCCCTGGGAAGCCTGGTAGGCAGGTCTTGAAAGCGGATATCTCTGAGAAAGATCCACGGCCACAAGCGTTGATTCCAGCAACACGAAACTTGTAAGCTGTGCCAGGCTGCAGCTCCATTTTCTTCATTTGGCTGTAGTCTGGCAGGTTGCCAGAGTCATCCTGCAGAACAGAACAGAGATTAGAGATGCTCCCAGCACACAGTCTTCTGAGCAGGAAAGGAGCCTCCTGAAATACTTACATCTCCCTGAGAGTCATCTCCTGGCATATAGAAGTGGGTGACGACCATATTTGTCACTTTAACGATTCCAACATCGAACCACTGGTTGTCTTTCTTTACAACAGCCTTCACCGGGGCTGGCTGTGGGGCTTGTTTCTGTAAGATAACAGAGATACTCGGTTACATAACTCCTCTTCGACCTTAGCTGAACCGGCCAGATGTTGCACAATAACTCACCGATCCCTCGATCCCATTGGCCACATCTGCCAGGGCGGCTGCTGCTTGCAGCTTGGCTGGACTTGCCACAGATACAGATGGAGCAAATGTGCTCGAAGGAGCGAGTGCTGTGGAGGGAAAGGGAACAACAGGGTTCATACACTTTTTCCCCAATGATTTTCAATGACTTCTCCATGACCGTTACCTAATTTCCCATGACCAAAAAAATTACTCTTTCTCAGCGGTACCACTGAAAATTGTTTATTTTAACATGGAACAGGAAAATAAGGTCTGAAACATGTTGTGCCTTTCTAAAACATACTTAGCTTCTACACGCTAAAGCAACTCAAATCTCTCACCAGCAAAAAGCCATTTCACGTTTCATTACTATACGATACATTATTTATTATCATTATAGTATTACTATTTTGGCGATTAGATAAAATATAAATTATGTTTGATGCAACCTTGGTTACATTTCCATGACTTTTCCAAAACTTTGGGAAAAATATTGTTTTCCAGAACTTTTCCAGGGCCTGGAATTAGCATTTAGAATTTCCATGACTATTCCAGGTTTTTAATGAGCGTAGGAACCCTGGAACAAGACAGAAATTGTCAATTTGCTGTAAAAAGAGACGTATTGAGTAACTTTTAGATAAAAAGCACAAGTCTTACTCTCGGCAGTGGCGCGTGGCAGCAGTGAGGCCACAGCACTGGTGACTGCGGCTGCCATCTCATTGTGTCCGTTGCTCTCGACGGAGGGGTCGTTGAGGCTGTCTGCGGGGGCCAGGCCCTCAGTGGGCAGGTTGGCCTCCGCGCTGGCCTGCTGCGCCACGGCTTGAGCCTCCTGCAGCTGCAGCTGTTGCAGCTGCTGCTGCTGCAGGACCAGCGCCGCCAGCTCCTGCTGGGTCAACATGATGGGGATGGTGGTGGGCTGCTGGCTCTCTCCAGAGGCTTCATCTTCATTTGAAAAGAGAGAGAAATATTTTAGAAATCATACTACATAACTTAACTACAACAACGTCATTAGGAACTGAAATAATTGGGGAGGTTGCAGTAGTTACAGAGCTAGAGCAGCTTGTCAGTGTTATTTGTTAGGAGGTATAAGAATACACAAGTCTTTCCATGCCTTCACCCTACACAGCCCTCGATCTATGAATATGTTGAGTGATCTGACAATGCGGTTGAACTTACTCATTACGGCTTGCTGTGCTGCCTGGAGGACGGCCTGGATGGCGAGCGCCTGGGCTTCTTCAGTGGCAGCTGCCTGAGCAGCGGCCTCTGCTGCTGCAGTCACAGCCAGCTCCTCGTCCGACAGCCCCGTCACCATCAGTGTGGCACCCTGAGCCTCGGCCATCAGCTCCGAGGGCAGATTCAAGGCTGTAGCTGCGGCTGCTTCACCCTGAGAGAACATATTATAGGTCAAACATAATATATCTTTGAAAGCATGGACTTCAACAGAGAATGGTGATTATTACACTATATTTACCTCAGCTTGTGTCTCCATAGCAGACGCTCCTTCTCCAGCAGGTGCAGCTTCTGCTGATGCGGTCTCATCCGTCTGCATGGGCTCCTCTGGGGAGCCGGCTGAGATGGATGAGATCGACTGGAGAAAAACAAAAGAACAAACCAAGATTAGTCACAAAGCGAACAAAAATACATTTAGAAGTTGCTCTCTTGATGAATAGATTAGTGTAATAACGAAATGTTGGAAAGACGTCCAAGACAGTTTCTCAAAGTCCAAGGTTATACTTTTGAAGGCCTTGTTTGCATCACCCCTAATAGAAAAGTGCATTTCTTACGGGTACAGAGGGTCCGGGAGCGGGTGTGGACTGAGTGACAGTAGTGATGGCCCTGCCCTGGGTGGTGGTGGTGGTGGTGGGGACAGTACTTGTTGCTGCAGTGGTGGGTTCCACTTCCGTGCTGGTGGTACTTTCTGCTCCCTCCTCCGTCTCCTGGCCTGCTCGGAGACACAAAAACATAATGTAAGCTTGACTTCATACCAATACAAAACATGACATCTGTTCCATAACCATATGTGTGGGTTGCCCGTACCTTCGCCTGTCTCCATGGTGCAGGTGGCTGTGGTGGCTGTGTTGGTGGTGCCGGTCTCGTGTGTTTCGCAGGGCGGGTTGGAGCACACTCTCTGGACCGGGGCTCCTTCTGAGCTGCTCTGGTCTCCGCCCATGCTTGAGGTGGCTGTGGACGGGGTGTTGGTGGTCCCGGTCTCGTGTGTTTCGCAGGGCGGGTTGGAGCACACCCTCTGCGCGCTGGAGCTCGTCTGGCCCGTGCTCATGTTGGAGGACGACTGGGTGGATGTGTTGGTGGTACCCGTCACGTGGGTCTCGCAGGGTGGGTTGGAGCACACCCTCTGCGCGCTGGAGCTCGTCTGGCCCGTGCTCATGTTGGAGGACGACTGGGTGGATGTGTTGGTGGTACCCGTCACGTGGGTCTCGCAGGGCGGGTTGGAGCAAACCTTCTGGACTCCCCCCATGCTGCTGGACGCTGTGGTGGCCGTGTTGGTCGTCCCGGTTTCGTGGGTCTCGCACGGCGGGTTGGAGCACATGCGTGGCGTCGACATGTTTGATGAAGCCGTTGTGGCTGTGTTTGTTGTGCCCGTTTCGTGCGTCTCACAGGGCGGGTTGGAGCACACTTGTCCTGCTCCCATCGCAGCGGAGGCGGTGGTGGCCGTGTTGGTGGTGCCGGTCTCATGGGTCTCGCAGGGCGGGTTGGAGCACACGGTGCCTGAGCCATCGCCAGACGCTCCGGCTTCAGAGGAGCTGGGCTGCTCGGAGGTGGGTGAAGCCAGGATGGACACTGGTAGGTCCTGCACTGGCTGAGCTTCAACACCGCTGGGAGTTGTGATCAGAGTCACCTGGGTGGGCTGGTTCTGGGCCGAAGAGACAGTAAAGATAAGTTCTAAGAGTCCCACAGCATGTTTCATACTCAATTAGGAAATTATTCGGGTGAAAAGCCCAAACAGAGGTCGAGACCGACCTCACTGCCTCTTTACCGGGGTTGTAACGTGATGTCTACACACACCTCCTCTTCCTTACGTCCACTCCTCACCTCTTACACTGGTGCGCACGGGTTTGTACAGCAGGTGTTGTCGTCTTTGGATGCACGGAAATGCTCTAGTTTGTAGGTCCGGTCCTTGCTCAAACCCGTCCCCGCGGCTCAGGTTACACCAGTGCCCCATGAAGACCGCCCCTGTCAACTCGATGACGTCCAGTAACCAACTTTCGGTTATCTTCCAACTAAGAAACTTATTCGACCATCTCATAATCAAGCAACAACTTCGAAAAGTCCTACTGTTTTTGAGTCGCAGATGTCGATAGTACAACTTTTAGACACGCGGAATTTTATCGAAAAATAGGGAATCACGACAACCAGAGCGCTTCGTTATTCTCGGGGTGACTGTCCTTGAACTAAATAAAGAAACTACTTTGTCTTTGACGTGGAAAGGTATTTATTTTGTATTGTACGGGATAAAGAGGCACGCAAGTGCTAGGGTCGCCTGTCGAAAGGTGGACCTGAACGCCCACAACTTCCCTGGCTGCTGGTTCCACTTGGAAAGTGACCTCCGGGGCAGCTGGACTCGAGACACGTCCCCCTCAAGTTCCTCATGTCCCACCAGGAGAGAGAGACTACAGTCCCTGGTGACGTCGCCACAACCATCTTGTCTACACCTTCATGTGGCATTACGTCCTGATAAATGACAAGTAGTGAAATTATCACTCTTTATTATCCAAACAATGTAAAAGAAACAATGTAAAAGAAACATAAGTTCGTCCCAAGAATGCAGTAATTTTTGGACTTTTTCAGTACCTTTTAAGTTTTACGATTAGGTCCGGGACCTTTCAATACCTTTTGTTATAAAAAGGGTTTCAAAAAACCTTTTCCAGTACCTTTAACCATTGATTCTCAACGTAGTTTATATTGAAATATAAAATAGATTAGCGGTTGTATCATTACTGATATTACTATGTAATTTATGACATAGCTATCATTACTTTGCAGATTTTACGTAAATTGACAGCTCCCACAAAACGACTGCACTCTTTAAAACAACGAAATCGCAACATCATTCGATCATTCGTGCGAATGATAAACTAAACAACATCAATCCTGGTTGCGCTACAAAGTATACGTCTGGAATAAAAGGACAAGGCTACAAAGTTTAATCTTGGTAGAAGTCAACAAGGCGACTCTTCTCATTAAAAAAAAAAAAAAAAAAAAACCCAAAAAAATCAAAATAGTTGAGGCTTTACTAAGTTCTTTAACCACCGCTAAAAAAAAGCCCAACTTTTTAAAAAAATATTCTTCCCACCAGCAAAAAAAAATACTTCGGAGCAATTTTTGACGTTTTCAATTTTTAAACTACCACGAATAACAGTATTTATTTATCATTTATATATTTACTATCTTCAAATGGGATTAGGGGGATCAAAATATTAAAAATTATAATTTTTGGATGCCAAAACCTTTAAAATTTTTACCCACATTTTTCCATGAAACTTTTTCCAAAAAAACACTTTTTTTTGGCAAAAAAATACTTGTGTTTCCAGTAACTTTTCCGCGGCCTGGAATTTGCCTTATTTTGACATTCCCATGACTTTTTCCAGCGGCTTTTTAATGACCGTAAGAACCCTGTTATTAAGCTATTATCTTACATGCTTTTTGTAGCAGCCTAACTTTGTTAGTAATTTTCTTATTATCAGGGGTTATATGCAGCGAATCCTGAAGTCAAATGAATACCTTTTTAAGAACCTTTTTTAAGCACCCTTTCCGTACATTTTAAGACCTCATCGCAACTTTTGAGTCTAGCGGTTACATTGGGCGAACACTGTTACCTCACATTTACTGTATTGGTGTGGAAAGATGGCCAAAACTAAATACAGGAGTGCAGACAGACTACTGAAGCCTCCTCGTCCACAATGAACTTCAACCTCTCTGCTGAAGGTCAGGTTTAATGCAGTATGCCTGCTTTGTTGCTTCTGACTCTGTCGGCCCTTTCATTCCAGTAAAACTCCTCAGAAACCATTTAGAAACCAGTAAAAAAAACCTATTTGACCAATAAACAAAACAATTGGACAAAACTTTGAACCTATGAAATATGTTAAACTTTTGGTGAGCCTTTCCATCGGGGATCCATATAGGGAGCCTCCCTCCCACACGTGTCCTGCGGGGGCTAAGCCCTGGCACAATAGGGACGATGCTCTGACGTTCATCACCCTCACACATTTGTCAGTATGGCTTACAAAAAGATATATGATGCTTAAGACTTTCTCCGTTCTAATATAGACTCATATTTTTAGGGTTCGATATGTGTTGACTTTACTTTACAAATAGCACGGAGTCTCTGGTGACGGAGATAGTTTGGCTTAGACCCCGGCCCCAAGGAGGACGCATACAGTAAAAACACATACGGTAAACCATACGCCAAGCGGCCAAAAAAGTCTTCCGTTCACACGCATTCGGATTCATTAAACGTGTCCGTTCACACTAGACCGCTGGAAATGCTGGAAACGATGTATTACATATGTCAGGCGCGTAAGTGGCGCTGCTGCCGCCCGAAATACACCAAAAGCAGTGAAGAAGACCCCGGAACATGGTTGCCCTTCTGTTTATTCTCCGCGGTGGACGGCGTGTTCTCCTGCTGTATATCTCTCCGGTAATCCACAGCAGATCAAAAACACCCACCTCACCGCCTCTTCCAAGGAACGAGGGGACCGTGCGGCAGTTTCCGTAAAAGATATTTTTCCGCCGGTCAACATGTCCGTTAAAGTTTAAATTTTCCGTACAAAATTAGAAAAGTGCCGGTCAGAGGTCTTCTTTGTTATTTATTGAGCTTTAAAACAAATTGATAACGACTCTGTTCTCTGTATAATAATAAACGGTGCCTGCCTCTCTTTTCCTCCCCCTCTTCTGACAGCCCAGCAGCAGCAGGACGCGGGGAGAGGGAGGCGGGCTATTTCATCGTTATCAGAAAATGATCATATAGGGCTTACACACGGAGCCGTTGGACCCCCAGAGCGTTGCGTATGCCGGTCTACCCACCTTGGGACCAGTTACCGTAGTCGTTTAGTCCCCCCCCCCCACAGAGCAGAGCAAGGCAACGAAACTTAAAATAATAAGCAGCATTTTACGGCGCGCTATGCATGGGGCCGCCTTGGGGGGTTTCCCGACATGTCGTTTCAGTAAATTAAAGGGTGTTTCATGTTGTCGTTGCTGTGGACCTTCTTAATACCTTGGAAAAGGCCGTTTAATACTTTTTAATACCCTTAATTTTCGCTAAATTGATTTATCAACTTTTAATACTTTTTAAGACCCCGCGGACACCCTGATTATGAATAAGCATAAACTCCCTAACCTTCAGTTATTTTGTATTCTAATATAGTTACAAGGGCTGCAATATTAATTGAAATGTTGGACTATTGCAATATCCAAATCGCAGCTCAATATTTGCCAAATGCAACATTTCTAAAAACAGACTTCGCCTGAAGAAAAAAAGACATGCAGATTCTTACCTGCACCGTCATGGTGGAGGAAGAGAGGGTGGTGGCAGAGGTCATGCTGGTCTGAGCGGCTGACACAGTTATGGACGCCGGGCTGATGACCTGGCTGGACAGGGTGGCGATGGTTCCCAGTGTGGTGATGGGGGTAACCAGAGAGGCATTGGAGCTGTCTGCAGCGGCTCCTGCCAGGCTGGAGGAGACGGTACCGGTGACTGTCCCAAAAGTGGTGACACCTGGAAGGGAAATAAGTGGTTTTATTAGGCATGTGATCTCTCCTGCCTTATTGTAGGAGATACAGGAGCTTTAAAACACAGAAAACAGACTCAAAAACGATTTCTACCCCTGGCCCACAAGGCTACAGTCCTAAGTACAATACTCTTTTAAATACCTAACTCGTATGCACTTTATAATGCATGGATATGCAGTAAGTAAGAAAAACTTTTTTTATATAGCACCCTTCTCAACACGGATGTACAAAGTGCTTTACAGTACAGTACACAGGACACAATTCAAAGTACAACTATAAAATGTAGAATAAAAGGCATAAAACACAGGGCTCTCGACTAACTTTTTTCACTATCCTCCCGGAACCGTCCCGAAATACAATCTAACCCGTCCCGAAATTAATGTGGACCGTCCCGAAATTTAAAATATGAGTTTTTCTACATTATCATTAGCTAGAATCGTTCAAAGTGAGCTTTAACATAAATAAAACATCATACAAATCATTAGATCAGGGGATGGGAACCTTTTTCCTCTCAAGGGCCNGTGTGTGTGTGTGTGTGTGTGTGTGTGTGTGTGTGTGTGTGTGTGTGTGTGTGTGTGTGTGTGTGTGTGTGTGTGTGTGTGTGTGTGTGTGTACCTTGGAGGCCAGCTCGTTGAAGAAGTTGAGGGCGAGGCTGCAGATGTGCGTTTCGGGGTCAATTAGCAGCACGGCCACTTCGCTGACTTGACCTTTGACCTTGAGCACATCCTTGAGCACCAGCTGGGTGAGGACTGTCACCGCTGTCTGCCGCACGGAGGGAACCTCGTCACTGAGCCTGAGGAGGACATGACACATCTGATGTGAAGCTTTCTTAATCAGCTTCTGTTACTACGAGCGATAGCCTCCTAATTTAACAGTTTTTGTCCAAAATGATAAATACTAACGAGGTGAATTTTCCCCAGAACTGAACTTTGATTCTTAGTAAGGGGTTTAAAACATACAAAAAAATAGTTCAGATGCAATGACTTTGTGGTCACTTTAAGACCCTGACAACACAAGGAGAACATGCACATCAGTGCCAATCACATCCAATTGTAGATTTAAAATAAATCGTAATTCAAAACTATGAGGTTGCATGAACCAAGTCATTATGATACACCCTCTGTACCTCCATTTCTCCCAGGGCAACACAGGTGGGGCATACAGGTATGCTGCAAAAGGCCTAACGGTTCTTCTGGAGGAAGATTAAGGCATACATAACATACCTGACGAGACGCCGTTACTAGAGCTATTTATTAAATGGCATTAAGTATATAAGTGCTCACCCCCATCTTGTCTGTTGTTTCCGGTCGTCTCTGTGTTCCCTCCGAATGATTACCCAATTGTGTTCACCTGGTGCCCTGTGTTGTCTCCTCCCCCCTCACCTGTGTCTAATTGCTCCCCCCTCACCTGTGTCTAATTGCTCCCCCCTCACCTGTGTCTAATTGCTCCCCCCTCACCTGTGTCTTGTTAGTCTGTGTGCATTTAGGTGCTGTGTCTTGAGAGGCTGGTCGTGTGTGTGAGATCTTTGTGGCTGCAGGATGTGTTCAAGGAGAACAGCAGGATTGAGGCTGTGAACTTTGTGCACATTATTTTAATAAATGCCCACGTCGGGTTATATTTTTGGACGTTCTGCCTCCTTGCTTGGTCGGGCCGCTCAACGGTCAGTCTCACACCGCCCTTACATGCTAAACTCTTATTGCACTTTTGGTAACGAGCATTGTCCACATCGAGACGGGTAAAGTTTAACCACACCTCGGAGCGCTTTGTTCTCTCCGCCGTGTGTGTTGCATGCATGTAGATGTAGCAGCCACGTGTGTGTAAACGGCCCCGCCCCCTCGCACACAGACGGGGAGAAAGATATTTTTCGTCTGGATTGGAAAGATCGAAAATACATCAGACGCATTTTGTAGTCTTATTGCGTATTAGAAACGGAGTTGGCGACACTAAGACTGCAATATAATGTTTGTGTAGCAATAATACATATGACATATTTTTTACATGTCTCCAGTACCGATAGAAAGACCGCTAACGTCGGAGCTTATCGGTACCACGGTCTTTAATAATTCAGCCCCGGGGCCCGTGTAATACCGGGGCTCGGTACAAATCCCTAAACACTGGTATGTATCCCCCCTGTATGATGGTTTACCTTTATCTGCCCTACTGGGGGGTTTTATGTTTGTCTGTTTTTGTCTAAGGCACACTGTGACAGGGTTGCACTCCAAAAAATCTCATTATATATTTTTGCACAATGACAATAAAGGCTTTCTATTCTGTTCTTTCCGAGAATAAATAGAATTTTGTTTTTACAAGAAAAAAGTATTCTTACCTGTCGTCCTATTAACAACCAGAGTGGTCACATTGGGCTTAACAGAAGACATGGTCACTGGTGTCACAAGTCGAACACCACCGACTGTGCTCATAGGCACAGTGCGCAGGATAGTGCCAGGTTGTCCATGAGCACCCTTCAGGACGACCTAAAGACACACAGTTCAGGATTAGTCAACTCAGGTGCAACATACATGGGCAGAACGACAAAGTTAATCTATATAGAGATATCTTTAACTGCTCAATCAGAGTCAGTGTACCTGTGTGAGTCCCTGTTGTCCGGCAGTGGCGAGTTTGGGCACTGTAGTGATGAATTTATTGGGACTTCCTGTACTCATCACTTTGGTGGTGAGGATCGTGATTGGCGTCTTCATGCCTCCACTGCTTGTCACACCTGAAGGGACGAAAGCATGATTGTAAATACATTTTCATTCAAGACCCACACAAAACAAAGTTAGCTAATTGACACCTGCAAATAATTCAGATGTTTGTTTCAAAAGGTTATGGCAGTTGCAGAAACAATGTGTAAAAAACGTAAGACAACATCATCATTACTTTTCTTTATCCAGGCGTTGACCTGGTTGAAACTTGTGATATGTAGTAACTGAAAATCAAACTTGCGTGAGTTTAGACCTGCAGCTCCAGACTGGCTCATGATTGCAGACATGGGGATGGTCTTAATGATGGTGGTGCCCTGCTTAGTGGTGTTAGGAGAGACCCCGCTGATGTTGAGGATCGTGGGCTTGTGTCCAGTGCCTCCTGCCTGGGAGGTCGTGATGATGGTTGTGGGCTTACCATCTGCGGAGGTCACCAGCTTAAGGATGGTGCCGGCTGGGAGGGGACCCTTTGACTGAGGAGAGAGAGAGCCACATGTTATGAGGATCAATGTGGAGAAGGACATCTGGTGTTGTCTCAGGAGTTTTAAGGAGTTCTACCTCCTGTGTGTTTTCCTGATTTTGTGCACATATCTGACCTGTAGGAGCTGTGTGAGAGGGTTATTGGAAGCCTGGCCTGTGATAGATGTCTGCACTGGCTTGGTTTGTACCACAGACATCATCTTGCCAAGGTTCGAGATCTGCAGACAAAGGAGGAAAGCCCAAGTCATTATTCATGTGAAAACATGAATTGCACAGGGACTTCAGTTTTGGCTCAACAAATCATTACAACTATAACTGAACATAGATCATTCAGATCGCTAACACTATGCTTCCCAATGAATTAGTCACTGTAGGACGGACTTCACTCACTCCCCCCATGGGTCAAGCTCAATGAACAACAAATACAAGTGTGAAGAGGCAATTTACAGAACACATGATTTACAGCGTGGATGATGTTCCAGTATTACATTGTGATAAAGAAAATGCTATCTTACCAGAGTACCACTGCCGCCCATGGTGAGGGGACTTTTGACCAGGGTGATGGTCTTGGTAACTCCTCCCACCACTGTAGTAACCACCTGGGCCTGCTGGGCCACAGTGACTGCTCCAGACTTATGCACAGTGATGATGGGTCTGGTGTTGGTGGGAGAGGAACCAGTAGCTGTTCCCACCTGGGCTGCAGCGGTCTTCAGCATCCGGGTGGCTGGGTTACTGACCTACAAGAACAAAAATACTTATGAGAACTGATCCGTGACGGACAGAATGCACTTTATGTCGGACCATTTAGTGAGGACTTTACCATGAGTGGAGAAGCCATTTTCATTGTGGTTGTACCAGGGGACATGGCTACAGTTTTGAGAATGGTGGCCCCGGCAGGAACATTGAGGAGAGTACCACCAGAGGGCGGGATCTTCTGTGTTGCTGCAGCTGCAGCAGCTAAAGCTGCCATGCCACTCATCTGAGGGCTACTTCCAATTGGCTGAAAAAAAAAAGACGATACAACATGTTTTGGACACATTTCTTCATTAAGGATGATATATTTCAAGATAAAAATACAGGGGAAATTGTTCTTACCGATCCTTGGGTGGTCTGGGCAGGCATGACCATCCTTACACCAGGCGGGAGGGATGTCAGAGTGATGGGGGATTTCCCGGGCTGGCTGGGGCGGACTGTGACAATAGATGTGCCAGTGCCAGACTGTTGAGCCGCAACCTTCAAGATGGCTGAAACACAAGGGGACGGATGATTAGACTTCTTTGCATTTGTTGGTGTGGCAAAGACAGTGAACATGGCTGAGTTTGAAACATGGAATTGTTGGTCACTAGTGAAGTACCTGTCTGGGGGAGATTCTGAGCAGAAGGAGCTGCAACAGCCAGTGCGGGGCCCTTCGGAGAGTTCAGAGGCTGCACGGGGCTGGAAATCATAGCTGCAGAGGCTGTAGCTGGAGTTGCTGGGATGTCGTACTTCTGCAGCTGCAGTAAGTAGGTGTCAGCGGTTGAGACGGCGCCCCAGCTGACCTCGAGAGAGTTTGTGTTGGCACGGACTAGCTGCACCCTGGCAGGAGCATGTGGCCGCTCTGTGGAGGAAGAGAGGTTTAACAACAATGATACTTTCACTACCTGAGCCGAGGAAGTGCCTCTTAGCATAAACTATGTTACAGCACACATACCAGTTTCCAGGTACCAGAGGTCTTTACAACAGACTTGGTTGTTCCAAGCTTTGCGATAACCGTCGCGGCCACTCCAGACGTAGAGTCGGGAATTGATGGCCACGGCACAGTGGCCAGCACGGGCCCTAGGGATGTTGTCTTCAAGAGTATCCATCAACACGGTCTCCCAACAATTGGAGTCTGCAGACACACACATAAAGATTAGTGAAGCCCCTTACACTCAAAATATACTTTTTTTTAATAAACACACAGGTTATAGGTTATACAAACCTAGATTTAGGCAGGCGAGAGTGTTTGTGCACTTCCACTCCTTCTCGTGTGTGGCCACTTTAACGTCATCCATTACCAATGGAACCCATCCTCCAAAAACATACATCCTGCAAAAAACGAAATGAAATCAGTGAGATGCAGCTCCCAAAAAGCATATTCTGTTCTTCTGGGAACTCAAACAGGATCGAAGAAAATGTTCAATGTTATTTGTTAAGGTCCAGCAGTATTCTCACTTGTTTGTGATGGTGGTGGCAGAGTGAAGACTTCTGGGTAGCGGTGCTGTCCCGTTTACTGATGGTTTGTTCCATGTCAGGGTATCTGAAGACAATAATGAGCAGTAGGATATTATATAAAAGGCAGTGTGAAAGACGAGTGTTTTGAAACGCAACCAGTTAACCGCAGCTACGGGTAATTCTCCTTGTCAAACATTCAACTGTTTATCCTCTCTAAAGTGTGGCCTCTTTTCCTCTGTTCGACTTTAAATTGCAGCACACTCTCCGAGTGGCACCGGCTAGGGCATATTTTTGCTGTCATTTTTCTATTCACACATTTACAAACCTACCGATATCAAGTGTCCATAGATCTCCAAGGCGACAACCACTCATGCCTCCGTAGATTATCAGGCGAGATTTCCTGCTTGTCTTTTCGGTGTAGACCACAGCAGTGTGGCTCTCACGTGGAGGAGGCAGGACTCCGTATGTGATCGGAATATCCCATCCAACCACACTGGATCCCGCACGCAGCTCAAGTGTATACAGATCATTTAGGTATCTGAGGAAGAAAAAAAACAGACAGAAGTTACGCTTATGTTGCTTGTGGAAGTAAAATATCAAGCCTTGTGTGCAGGAAAAAAAGCCTGCCGGAGAACAACATCTGTACCTGGGAATGTTGTTTTTTGGGTCCTCGCTGTCATTGGCAAGTCCACCAAACAGGTAGCATTTATTGCCAACCAGGGAAAAACTGTGGCCCAGACGAGGACAAGGAGGGGGGCCATTCTTCGGGTTTTTCGCTTTCAACTTTTTCCATTCCCATCTGCTGGCCTGTTGTGAACAACAATGTTCATAACAACATTAAGCAATTGAAAAGATCATAGCAGAAGCAGTTACAAACACAAGCTGACCATCTTTCTTTCTCTGAGAATATGATAAAAAAGGTTCTGTCAAAACTAAGACTTAACCTGAAACCTAGTCTTATTAAATGTTGCATTTATTTATTAATTCCTATTTTAATGTAATAACTGTACAGTCCACTTCCAAGTTGCTCATAATCCATCCTGACTCTTGTTGACAACTTGATAGGAGGACAATAAAGACGCATTGTGGCACATTGCACTGGCAGAACAACTAGCTTCTGATTAGCGTCACGTTTAATAAACACACATTTACATTTAGGTCGCCCCTCCCCTGTCAAAACATGATTTCCCCAAAGCTTTAAAAAGCAGCTTCAGATTGGTTATCTTATTATTCAGTTGATGGAGCTTGGTGAAACCACTGCATTTGATTAACAAGTTTTCTAAATCCATTCAAAATGTTTTGAGGGAAAAAAAGGAAATCACGATGCATCTAAGAAACATTTGCACTGCATTAGCAATTCAATGTCATTATCTGGAGTGCACAGTGTGAAATAAAAGACTCAATGGGACCCAAAAAACTATTAACAACACCCAGTTTGAATTTGATAAATCAGGATAAGGGCCTACCATAAAATGTAATTTACTAAACTGCATGCAGCCCATAAATATCCACAGCCACAACACGTACAACTTAAAAAGATAGATTTACTTTGTTCGGCTGTTACTGTGCTTAAGTAAAATAAATAATCCCATAATAATGAAACTATAACTTTTTATCACTTAATTTAGAAACATTGCATTATCCTAATGCACACATTTAATAGAAAACATGGAGATACATTTGAATAGATAGATAGATAGATTACCTGAAGTTCATAGAGATCGTTGCTGTACTTTCCATACTCCACCATTCCACCAAACACCAGCAATCGTGTGCCATCACATACAAAACCATATGCAGCACAGCCGGGGGGAATATCACCACGGACCGCTGGGATAAACCACTGGTTTGTTGCTAGAAAATAAAACACAATGATGATTCAGTTGAGGCTTACTCATATCAATGCATTTAAACTATAACCAAGGTTTGTTATTGTCTAAACAAGGCTGTGAAAAACCTTACTATTACAACTCTCTTGTAATTATTAGTACATAAACCAACAAATGTATTGAAGGATGGGGATGAAAAAAACATGTTTTTATTAAATGTGTCTGTCCTTATTGGTTTATGTACAGGAAATTGGGGCATAGGATATAGTTAAACCAACCAGCATCATCCATTTTATTTTAGCCCGCCTTTTTTAACGTACAATAGCACCTTTCTCCAGCAGAGGGGGCCAAATGTAATCAGAAACGGGCTTGTTTGGCCTGCTGAGGCTTGTATTCTACTTAGTTCTGCACATCACGAATCGATCTTTAGAAATAAAATAGAATGTTTTTTTATGCAGAAGCTAAATACTAAAATGCATTGTTTACCATTTCACATCTGAAGATTTGATAAGTAAACATCATGCTCGCTGCCAACAGTCATCAGTAAAGTTATACATGCAAAAGTTATTATCTTACCAGTGTTGTAAACATGCAATTCATCCACTATTCCTTCGTTTCCACCACCGAAGACAACCATAAGCTCCTTTATGGCCACAGCTCTGTGTCCATGCCTGGGCCGGGGAACGGGACCGGACCATCCGAGGACCCGCTTCCACCGCGGCTGCAGAACCGACGCCGTGGAGCCAGGGGCAGACATGATTTCTGTCGGAAACATTAATAAAATAAAATAAAAAATTCTTGCCTGATGAAATGCTCCTGGTTGTACAAAGTTATCGACTGTAGAAACTCATCAGCAGGATGGAGCCGCGCACTGTGGCTCACTTCTAAAAACAGTGTGTGCCCCAAGCTCTAGTTAATGAACACATTCATTCATTAATAAAAACAAATGCGTAGTAAGAGCTTTCCAACTTGTACTGATTAAAACCCCTTCATATAGACGTGGAGTTGCAGTTGTGCAAAAGAAATACAAGGAAATGTTCATACACCCAAGTTGTGTTGTCTTCTAAACCATTTAATTCAATCCATGGAAGCAGCCATCTTGTAACCAAACAAACCCCCGCTAACACCGCTGCCAGTCTGAGAAATGGCGGAAGCGAATGAAAAGGAGAAATAGCTAGCCAACTACCACAGCGAAGGAACACAATAAATTGAAAACAAATCCACTACAGTGATAGCGGTTGAAAAGAGGAAAACAATGCACATTTGCAGCACACACTTAATCCACAGTTAGAACCGTTAGCAAGAGTCGGCTATTTTCATGCTTCTCTGGGAGTCGCCATCTTGTAGCTAACTAGCTTAGCGTTATCTGCAATCCCTTTAACGTACTTATTAACACTATAACTATATAAAACCTCAATATGAACAGTTGCACCAATTTGGTACACACATCCCTACAACCCCGTCTATAAACTTCTTAAAATATACTTAAAATGTATGCCAAATCGGGATAATCAAATGAATGCTAGCATTAGCTGAATTCCGTTAGCACAAGTAGCTAGTTGCTCAAACTCATTAGCACAAGCTAACAGCGTTAGCATCTGTCAAAGCGTCGCGCTATTTCACAATTAAATGCAATGCAATAACGTTTAATTCTGACATGCATATTTTACCTGATATAAATTTTGTTGCAACAACGCCCGTTGAACACAGCTAAACGGAGATAAACTGCATAAAGGGAGTGTTATTATGTTTCATGCCGTCTCTGGAAGCAGCCATCTTTTCGACACTCGGCCTACTTCTACAGCTCCCACAAGAAAAATGGCCGGGCGGTAAACCACAACAAAACACAACAAACCCCAAAAAAGGCGCAAATATTTCAGATTATTACTCACTTATATCGATGCAGTAGTAGCAAAAACACGGGTTTGTGGTCTAATCTTGCGGCAATAATCCAAATTCATTCGATTTGTGAAGAAGTATTTCCTCTCATGCCTGCCTGGAAGCTGCCATCTTCTTGACAACCAGAGGCGGAGGAAAATGGTAGAGAGCTGGCGTCACCCAAAGTAAACATGGCGACTGAGACCCGCTCGCTAACCATTTCCGACAGAAACGCCTTTTAGATTTGATGGTACGCCATCGTGAATAGACGAAGGGTGCTTAGTATAATGAGGTTTTGTACGGGACACTGAGAATACATATAAAGTTAACAGAAGAAAGTTTCAGGAAATTACAACAAGTTAGCGCTTGGCTTATTGTCCCTTACTAAAGATGGCGACATCCGCCCAGAAACCGCTTTATTTTCATATTGTAGGGAATGCTGATTTTATTCCACCCTGAATCTGCTTAGAGGGGGCTAGAAAACACAAAAATAGTGTTAAAACGGTGGGTAATTTACAAATTTAGCGCTCAAATGTACTACATTTGCCACGCCCACACACAACATTAGTTCTCTTTATACATCCATGAAGTGCGCCCTCTACTGATAAAAGTACTGTATTACTATTGACATCAAATACTTCACCCTTTATTTACAAAACAGTAAACAGTGTATTCAGCCATATTTCTCTGATGAACTCTCACTGAATGAAATATAATAGAGAATGCTCCAAAATGTAGATATTTTGAAACATTATTAAACTTCTCAGTCTATTTTTGTTATTGAAAATAGATTAATTTGTGTGTTTGTCAGGAAAGTTATCGTTTGTTGACAATATACCCTGCATTTATTTAGAAAATATGGTTCTTTTATAAATAGAGGATAACCAAAAGGCACAATATATTTTAGCTTTCAAGAAATTAGAAACCCTATTGTACAATGGGGATGTGGTTTTACATTTACCAACTGCCTTTCACTGGAAGGAGTAGCCTGTAGCCTTTTTTTTACAACACCTTAGGTAAAATCTGAATTAACATTTATATTACATAGCCCATTGTAATTCCAGTGGTTCTGTTAGAGTCACGACTTGAAGATCTAGTAACATTGCACAAAGCACGAATTTGCATATTTACTATGTTCAGAATCAAAATCCTTTGTTAGTTCCACAGCGGGGAAATGTACAGTGTTACAGCTAAAAGTGCCATAGCAGATAAAATAAAAAATCCATACAGAATAAGCACAATTATTATTAAGAAAAGCACACATTAGTTATAAAGACAAATAAGTAGGTAAGTACATGGCTAAAAATGATGAGCAGATAATGTTGTGTGAAGTGTTTGAAATTTGGAAAAGGCAAAATCATATTATTTAATTACATTTTTCTATAAATGCATATCATTGGCTTTGTTCACAGTTTACAATGAGGTTGGATTCATGTTTGATCATTCTCTAACTCATATATGTATGATATGAAATATTGTTGTCTCATTGACATTTTTTATTTTGCCTGAAAATCATATGTAAGCAATAAAACAAGGGGAAGAAGGGGTTTGTGTTTTTTGATGATATAGTTTGCTGTCCTTTACTGGAATTTCAATGAGCGAGTCATGGAGTAAGAACCATAATAAGAACTTGAAGGAGTCACGAGAAGACTTGTTCTGTCTGTTCAAAGCTATGCTCAGGTTAAAGATGCGTAAATCTGTGTTCACCAAACTTCATGTAAGAATCCTAACTGTATATCTTGTTATAGAAGCAGCAAAGCTAATGAGAGTCGGTGAGATGTCACTCAAACACAGTCTGTAGACGCCCACAAAACCTGAGATGACCTTTAATCACCTGTCAATCAAAATCACCTGCATGCATAGCCGTGGGAATTTTTGCAGAATTTTATTTTTCTTGTCTATTTAAAAAAAAAAACCTGAAAAGGTCAATGAACGAATTAAGACGTGTCTACTTTAAAATTGCATTAGTTAAGAGTGCAGCCAGTCCTGGTGCCTGTTAACACCCACCTAACACACATTTGATCTGTTTTTGCATTTCTTTATGTGATACTCACACAAAGTACAATATCTCAAACATAACATGTAGTTCGATACATTAAGGTGCCTCTCAATGACAGAGAAGCAGGCAAATCTATATGTAGATGCTTTGTATGATGATATATATATATTTTGTAATGTTTTGTCTGTAACCTCGCTGATGTCTATCTTGGCCAGGACTTTCTTGTAAAATAGCTCAATGAGACTTCCCCCTGGGTATATCCAGGTTAAATAAAGAAATACAATAAAATGTGTCACTCTTTGATAACATGCTGTTCATGATTTCTCGTGTGCCAAGCGTCAAGGTGAGCCCTAATGCAGCTGCTCAGATCTAAGCTAAGGACGTGCCCTCCTAATGAGAGACCACATAGCCAATATATTTACCTATTGTCATTCATTCATATATATTTCAAAAAGGCATACAGGTTTATAAAGTAGAAACTGTTAAGATAATACAAATAATAACAATAGACAATCTTTCTACAGAAAACTAATTTGGAAATCCATAAAAAACTTCCATGAAAAGAGTTATTATTGACCGTTGAACAGTCTTCTACCCTAAATCATTTGAAATGATTATCAACCTTGAAGTGTAGCCTCAGTTGCAGCACCATGGCTGCTGGTGTGGCCGCCCGGGTCGGTTAATCTTATTTTATTACTGCCATCTTTCAAAAATAAAGGAGGCAATTTGCATAATTCCCTGTGCACTTTTTGCATTACCTATCTAATTTAGATACTTGATGCACATTTGCTTTTGCAGAAACCTGTTTGGCTGTTCGTAATGCAATGTAAGATGGTATTTGGCACCTAACATACTGTATGTTTGAAACTGTAGAGGAAGTGCATCATTTTATAGAAGGCTCTAATTCAATAAAAGAAGATGTTAACAATGGTGTAAGCCTTTGATGATCTCCTCCAGGGACAGATCATCCGTGCTTACGCAATCAGAAAGACGGTAACTTTCAGGACAGACTGGATGTGATTAGAAGATTAACAGTTTAAAAAACAAAAAGTACAATTGCACCAGCTGGTCGCGGAGGTCACTTAATGAAACTTAAATGTTTACTGATGGATGCAAATGTCTAGGTCAGTACATCTTTACCTCTGTGTCCTAATTAACTGTATAGGACTGCTTTTGTTCTAAGAAAGTGCCAAGATAAGAGCAGGATACCGTTGATTACGTCCGGGAATTTGGGTTTTGGCCACTATTGTATACACTGTGCGTTACTGTGAATGATACAGTGTTTTTTATAGTCCTCTAATCCCAATTTCCAAAGTCCGGTGTTTTGTTAAATTGGTCAAGCAATTAATTATTCAATCATTTAATTTGTTAATTTATGTCATGCAACACTATAAATTACTTCCCAGTCAACACTACTGGACTGCTATAGTCATAGTGCTGTACACGGTGACCTGACCCTCACATGAAAAGGTCTTTTTGACTTTTCTTTTTAACCTTCTGGCAAACATGAAGCACGGCCTTGATGTGGAGCTTCCGGAGGATCTCTGGATCCCCATCCCTCTGGAGACAAACAACATCACGGCCCTCAGTCCATTCCTGGTCCCCCAGGACCATCTAGCGAGCTCCGGCGTCTACTACGCAATGGCCCTGTACATGCTTTTTATATTTATTGTGGGCACTTTCATCAATGCGCTGACAGTCGCATGCACCATCCAGAACAAGAAGCTCAGGTCCCGCCTGAACTACATCCTGGTGAACTTGGCCATTTCAAACCTTCTTGTGTCCTGCGTGGGCTTATATATTTGTCCTTTGCAAACAAATATGTTATCCTCGGACCACTAGCATGCAAAATTGAAGGTTTTATTGCAACGCTTGGTGGTAAGAGAAACTTTAAATACACATATTTAAGTTATAGAGTTTTAATGAGTTTTATCATTCGTGCTGTATATCGTTCCAGGTATGGTGAGTCTGTGGTCTCTCGCTGTGGTAGCGTTTGAAAGATGGCTGGTCATCTGCAAGCCACTTGGTCACTTTATTTTCAAGCCTGACCATGCTTTAGCTTGCTGTGCATTCACCTGGGTGTTTGCACTGATTGCTTCCGCCCCTCCCCTGCCCATTTTCGGATGGAGCAGGTAAGCATCAAAAAACAAAATTGAACAACTTTAACACTTGAACATTGGGAATCTTGGACGTACACTCAATGCTCTTGTGGTTCTCTCTCTCCAGGTACATCCCAGAGGGCCTACAGTGCTCTTGTGGTCCAGACTGGTACACCACAAACAACAAATACAACAATGAATCCTACATCATGTTTCTCTTTGGATTCTGCTTTGCTGTGCCCTTAGCAGCAATTGTCCTCTGCTACTCTCAGCTCCTCATTACACTGAAAATGGTGAGGAAAAGTTAGAAGACTGAGAACAGAATTTAGGAATGTTTTTTTTCTAATGACATCTTAATGCTGCTCAGGAACTTCATTTTTCGTCCCATGATGCCTTGAATTCTTGTTTTTTCCAATGCCTCCATGGTGAACTCCAAAAACTGAGAAAAGTTGAGGAATTTAACTAAACAGTGAATGCGCTAAAATGAGAATATCAGTTTACAAATATCAATTAACTTGCGCAATCTAATCCGAGTCTCATTTATCTAGGTGGTAGTCTCACTACTTTCCTACATTCAATATTTTGCAAAGCTATTATATCTAATACACAGAACCGGTTTTGTTATTAGAACAAACTCGGCCCCGATTTACAATTCAATAAAAGGGTCTTGATTCTTTGTTCACCTTGGAAGCATGCAGGAAAACATATTCCCTAAGAATTCAAGGTAACACAGGGTGAGCAGTTCCTATACAAATGACCATTCCGTTATAACTGCATCTCCTGTGTGATTAAATTATCTGGTGCAAGGATCACTAAACACGAAGAGCTCAGAAGACATGACAGTCATTTCTTTTCCTCAACAGGCAGTGAAGGCCAGGCAGAGTCTGCCTCCACCCAGTAGGCCGAGCGGGAGGTGACCAGGATGGTGGTCATCATGGTGTTTGGCTTCGTGGTGTGCTGGTTGCCTTGCGCCTCCTTTGCCCTCTGGGTTGTGAACAACCGTGGGCAAACCTTCGACCTGAGATTAGCTTCTGTACCTTCTGTCTTTTCTAAATCCTCTGCAATCTACAA